GCCAGGTCACCTTCCCCTAAGGAGAAGGACAGGAGTTCTTACTAGGTGGATTACCTCATCTTGCTTTACTGGATGGAGAGGGTCTGTGTGATAGATCACCTCTTCGGTGCTGACCAGAAAATGTCAGATTTATCGGCTTAAAATTCCACTCCTGAAATTGTAGGAGTTTTCCTCTTGGTTTGCTGTTCTGGGGGCAAGGGATTCCTCCACCTGGGGCGGGTGGCTTCCATTTTAGCAACAGAGACCTGGGACCTGCAGGCCCGGAGTGCAACCGGGAAGAGGGACCAAGGTACTAGTCCCAGCAAAAATCTCTTTTGGACCTTGCCTGGCTCCTTATAATCTTCCCCATTTGTCCAGAGGAGAAAGGGTGTCCCAGCGTCTCCTGATCGCAGGGGACACAGGCTGGGAGCCCTGCCGGGGCAGTCATGGGACTTGCTGTGCTCACCCTCACTGCATCGGAGGCCAGCCAGGACCTTCCTTCACCTCTGCACACACCAGACTGTTCTGCACAGGTGGTTCTTATGCCCACGGTTCTGCTCCTCCACACCTGGCTCAGATTAGCCCCGATGAGGGCCTGCTCAGGGCACCAAGGTCAGCTGAACCGGCCTCCTCGGGGCTGGAGCGGGTTGAACCTGCGGCCGGCCGTGTACGGCCCTTCAGGCCATGGCAGCTCTGGCTGGAGGGATAGTTCTGTGTGTGTATTTGTGCAATTGGCCATGATTCTGACCCCAAACCATCCACTCACTGAGGTCAGATGCCGTATCTGGTCTGCTCCCTGGTCGAGCTCCCAGCACTTCACGCAGGGCCTGCTCTAGAGAGAGTTGGTGTGGGCCCAGCGGGCCCTGTCCCAGAGCAGGCCCCCTGGGTGAGCCGCATCTCCCTGTGCCCCAAGCCCGCATCCTCAGCTGCTCGGCACGTGCTCAGGGAGGGTACATGATGCTGTCTAATCCAGGTCTCTGTTAGGCTGAATTGGGTGGTGTGGCCTCCACGATCCAGCTGTAGCCCACCGTCAGCCCCTCCCCTTTATCTCCCTGGGACTTCTTTTGCTCTCTTGGATGCCGCAGTCCTAATCAGCATCCTCGTTCCAGTTTTGGGGTGAGCCTTTGTGCTTTGAGCACGTTTGTTTCCCAGGCCCACCATCCTCCTCTTCCTCTCCTTGTGGGACTCAGGGCCCCCCACGCCTGCTTGTTCCCCCCTTGAAACTTGCTTTGGTCAGCCCACCCACCTGCACCCAGGGGACCCACTCTGTCTCTGGCGGCTTCCAGGCTGCTCTGTCCCCTACCCTTTGAGGGGCGTGAGGTGACACCAGGTGGTTAATGGTTCCCAGCTAATTCTTGAGGCCCTGAGCAAGGGGGTGCTGGTGCTGAAGTCACCTATCTCATCAGGCCTCCCCCCCCGCCCCCCCACCAGGGCAAGGACTGGCCTTGGATCCCGAGGAGATCCCTTCCCTTCCTGAGAGCCCGAGTCATCCCTGCCAGAGATCAGGAGATCAAGTGCAGCCCTCTGGGGGAAAATTCACTGTTCTTTCTTTAATGTCCTTCCTGCCCTGGGGCATTTACAGAGCTAACGGTGGATGCCACTCCTCAGAGCCATCAGGAGACCAGTCATCTGTACACCTACTGACAATGCGTGCTGAGGTCCCATGAAGAGGGGCGTTCACCCCTCCTGTCCCCCCTCGCCTGTGCAGAGCCCTTTCCATTGTGTGAGTAATACATCTGGAAAAGTTCAGAGTTCCCAGGATAAATCAGTTATTATCCCTGGCTAAACAGGGGGAGTTTTTCCAGCTAGAATAGGGCTGCTTTTACCACTCTCCTCACTTTTTATGCACAGAAAAGCTGCTGCAGCTGGGGAGTTGTCATTGGTACTCTCTGGGTGTCCCTCCTGGAGCGGGGCTCAGCAGCCTGCTGGGTCCTGATGCTGAGTGAGCTTGGTGGTCTCTCTGGATCACAGTGGGGCTAAGCACCGAACACCCACCTCCTCTGGGAGTCGCCACTCCCTAATATATGGGGTTTTTAGAATTTAAGAATCTTTCAAGTCAGCCACTGTGCCATGAATTTTACACGATGGACTTTTCCATCCTCAAAGTGGATCTGCCTCCCATTTTCCAGATTGTGAAACTGAGTCTTTAGAATCAAGGATGTGTGTGCTGCTTTGCCCTGGCTTCACTCAGCCCTTCCTTCTTCCTCCTGCTGGAGACTGGAGTAAGTTTACTCATCTCTGTGGTTCCTTCTTATCTTCCGAGTTGGGCTGAAGGCGGCAGGTGCAGGGATTGGCCAAGGGGATCACCTCAGCTCTTCCAGGCTGAGTCACAGCCAGGTCACCAGCCTAGTAGCTGACAACACAGAAAGGGCCCTCCCAGGGGGACTCCAGACAGGGCAGGATCAGAAAGTGAAATGTAATCTAGTGCATGTTCTCCCCTGGAGGCTTGTCTGAAAAAATTCCCCCCTTCAGCATCTGGCTCTGTTTAGATATTGTGGCAGTAATGGGGATAGCAGGGGAAGTGCCTCTCCTGAGGTGGCAGGCTAAGCTTGGCAGCCATCAGACTTCACTTGGGGTGACCTGGGGTGAACCTCAACCCCACTCTGCCCCATGTTCATCATTTGTAGAACGAGTGTTTTGGACTGGATTTTCTTATGTGTTTAGACCTCTAGTCTCCAAATTTTAATAATTCAAGATCTATTTTAAGCAGAGTCTTCACTTAAGTGGCCTGAAGTTGGACTTTCCCTCCAGAAAGCTTTTCCATTGGGGTAGCGTTGCTTCCTGACTCCGAGGCCAAATACTCCCTAGGAGAGTGGGGAGCCTAAGAATGCTTCCTTCTGGGGCCCTGCAATTTGCCGGCAGCAGTGGTAACCTCTCCTCTTTGGTCTCCGAGACACATCCCTGTGGAGGAATCTCACCTGTTAACAACGATCCACTTTGTAGCCCCCTCCTCCCAAATGCCAATGGGGAGGGGTCACCTGCTTTCCTGGGGACAGGCTGCCTGGATGGGAGTCACCCCAAGACCAGCTTGAACGCATCCACCGATGGCCAGCTGGAAGAAGACACTTCACCTGGGCAAAGCGCCCAGGGCAGATGACCCCCATCTTCTATCTAGAGCCAGCCCGACATCTCTAAAGATGCTTTCCCAACATCTCCTCTGGGATGGCTGAAAAGCATCTCAAACTTAGCGTGGCCCAAACTGCACTCCTGCATTTCCTTCCAGGCCTGCTGCTTCTTCCTTCTGGATCTCAGTGAACAGCACCATTATCCCTCAGTTGTTCAAGCTCCACATGGGGATTTAACCCTGGATTCGCCATACCCACTCCACCCATACATCCGCCAATCCATGTGTTTACTTACCTCCAAAATATTTTCGAAACCTTTCCACTTCTCACAACCCCCTCACCCTCCCATCAGTCTGAGCCATATCCTCTCCTCTGGTTTCCTGTAGTAATGTGTGTGCACTTCCACTCTGCCCCCCTACACTCCATTTTCCACATAACAGAGAAGTGGTTTTAAAAAATGTAAATTAGATCGTATCATTCTCAGGCTTAAAACCCTTCTTGGAATATCTAAACTTCTTAGTTGGCCTACAAGATCCCCAAGATTTGGTCCCTGCTACCCTTCCAGCTACCCGTGGCTCCAGCCATTCACAGAGGGCTGCTTTAGGACCTTTACACGTGCTGTTTCTGCTCTCTAGAAAGTTCTACCCACCAAATTTTTGTAGGACTCTGGTGTTTCTTGTCATTTAGGATTTCTGTTCAAACGTGGCCGCCTGTGATCATCTGATCTACATCAGGTAGCTGCAGATTGTTTTCTTCGTTATTCAGCCATTGCCTGTCTCCTTGCTGGAGAATGGAAGCTCCAAAGGAGCAGGGTCCTGTCTCTTGTTCTTAGTGTCTGGAACAGAGCCTGACAAGTATTTGCTTAATGAATGGATGAAGCAGGAGTCCTTGGGCATTTGAATAAAGGATGAAGGTGAACCGATGTTGAAAAGATAAGTGTAAGTTGCAATTTGGCCAACAAGGTTGGCTGCCACGACACGGTTGCAGAAACTAAGATCCTGGGTCAGAAAGGTTATGGGACTTGCCTGGGTCCCACCGCTCTTAAAGAGCAGGGCCGAGATGGCAGCCCCCCAGGCCCTGGGCGGTTTTGGATCGCTTTACCTGGCTGCTCTACAGCTGATGTTGAAAGCCCCCTGAATTCAGAGGCTTCCCGGAACATGTCAGTCTAGCCTGGTGAATTAAATAAATGACTTTGGCTTTGGATAGGATAATCAGAAACGTGGCCTAAGATGTCGTGCCCAACAGGCGGTGGGCGGTGAAGAAAGGGCTAGCGGACTGGAGCCTTCCTTCGAAGGAGGCTGGGCTGCCTGGGGCCAGGATGGCCCTGAAAGCTGCAGAGCGGCTCGCGCCTCGCGGGGGCCCTCGCGCGGCCCCGCTCGCCCCGCCTTCGCTCCGCCTTCGCCCCGCCTCCGCCCCGCCTCCGCCCCGCCCCCGCCCCGCCCCCGCCGGCGGGGGCAGTCGGCAGTGACAGCGAGCGCGCGGCGGGCAGAGAGTGTTTGCATACAAAGGCGGCCACGCGCGCCGCGCCGCACGGTGAGTAAACGCCTCCGCGCCGTCCGCCGCTCGCCGAGCCCCAGGCCGAGCCGCGGCGGAGCCCCGGCCGCTATCAGGGAGGGGCCGCAGCCTCGGCAGGGCCGGGCGGGGCGGGGCCCCGAGAGCGGGGGGCGCGCGGCGGGGCCGGAGCCGGGCGGGGGGACGGGGTCGACCCGACGCGGGGGGACCGAGCTCGGTCTCCGCGGTCCTTTCGGGGGAAGTGCATCGGAGAGGGAGGCGGAGACCAGGCCCGGGGCCCGGGCGGCGTCGCCAGCATCCCTCGGGCCTTCCCTTTCAGGGCGCACGCAGGGCTGACCTTGACCCGCCTGTCGGTCCCCGGGGAGGGGGTCTGCCGAGGGACCCCGGGACGGCGGGATCGGCTCCATCCAGCGGGGACGGGTGGGTTCGGGCTGGGCAGCGGGTAGTCCCTGCGGTGCGCCCGGAACTTTTATGAAAATGTTCCCGGGGCATAGGATTCTTGCTCTGCAGTGGAGGAAACTGAGGCCCAGGGAGGCTGACCAACGTGACCAAGGTCACACAGCTGCTGGGTGGCAGATTGACCAGGGTTGGAATCCGGTTCTCAGATTACTGTGTGGTTCCTCCTCTGTCAGGCCTCCGTGCCTCTTTCCTGCGGCCCAGTGGGTGCTAGGCCTGGTTAGTTCCATCACATGCCCCTGCAAAGAATTTTATTTTGGGGAAGGCCAGGAAAATGTAGGATGCAAAGCAGTGGTTTGGAAATAAGTCTAAGTGCCTTAGCGCTGCAGTGTAGGTAACTGGCAGCTAATTTATATGGAGAGTAGTCGCAGGAGAAAGCAGATGTCAACCCCATGTTTGACCACCAAACAGGAAACTTGAGCTAAAAAACCCGGCAGATTAACTCAAGAGAGTTTTTTAGCACCCAATAGTATCCCCAGGATAGTAGGAGTATTTTGGAAAAGATGAGAACTTGTAACAGTTTTTTTTTTAATCTGAGGAATGGCATGATGATTGTGAAATTTACTATTTATCTGCTTTTCTATAATTTGGGTCCTATGAATTAAAGTAAGCAATTGAGGAATGGGTAGTAATTGAGAAATAAACACACACTCCACCACCCCCCCCCGAATGTTGGAAGAACTAAGAGTTTGTTTTATGGTTCTGTATTTTGATAATTCTTCATATTTGTCAACATTTGTCTTATTATCCAGCCTTTTTGTTTATGGATGTGTGTTTTGGAGCTTTTCTTCCTGTTTGTATGTAGGGCTGTGTAGTGTTGTGGAGCTGGGCCTGGCCAGAGCCTTGAACCTGAACTTCGTGGGTCGTGCCCGAACCTTGAACCGAACTTAGCTCTGCCTGAGCTTGCTGGAGGCCCCTGCGCAAGTGTGCTCCCCATCTCAGGTCTCATTTATCAAAATCTTACCACTCTAGAAAAGAACATGCTGCAAGGCACAAACCTACCTGCTGAGTCTAGTTGCACAGGACAGAGCTTGAGGGTTCATGGGAGGGCCTGAAGGACCTCTGCGTCCTAGGGGGACCTCAGGAATGGCTGGGGAGAGTTTTCCCTGGGTGGGGTGAGGATGGCCGGCTGGCCTGGCCTGGCCAGAGGGAGGTCTGTGGGCCCAGCCCATGTCTGGTGAGCTGCCCTCAGAGCCCTGGACCAGAGAGAAGGGGAGGGCAGGAGATGGAAAGATAGTTCAAAGAGGCCACCCTGGGCCTGCGGGGTGCTGAGTCTAGTGCTTCGTAGTTACACTGGGCCAAAGACTTAAATTCTCTGAGCCTTGGTTTCTTCATCTATGAATTGTGGAGATAACCATACCTATTCAGGAGATTATTGTAAAAATTAACTGAGATATACAAGAGATATACAGGGTCAGTGACTCACTGTGGAGCCTATTATTTTAGGGAGGAACACAGGGTACCAGTGAGGAGGGCTGTTTGTAGGGTTGAGACAGTTCTGACCAACACTGGCCCCTCCCCACCCCCCCTCTCCTATTGTGAATTGGCCTCTCCTGGATCCTCTCTCTCCTGGGTTCAGGGTACACAAGACAAACTGATTTGGGCAAGCATTCGGATGGGTATGGGTGAGGGTTGCCGGCAGCTTCTTGCAGGGGAGGGCTGGTGGACCGGGGCGGGGGGGGGGGTCACACCAATTGGGGAAGCTTTTGGGGCATTTTTGAGAAACACCGAGAAGGCCGCAATCCAGTTGGGACACTGAGGCTAGTGCCTTGACCTGTTTGCACAGCAACTCCCGCAGCGTGACCGGGGGACGAACTCTGGAGCTGTTGAGGTGTATAGCAGGTCAGGATGGATCAGTGGCCCACTGTCAGCGCTGGGGCGAGCTCCCTGGGAAGGGGGACGTCACACTTTACATTTCATTGAGTTCTGGCTCAGTTTATTATGGGCTAAGCCCACTCACTTAAAATTGGAGTGGCATTTGTGAAAAAAAGGCAGGCGAGGCCCAACTTAATTCTTCATTTATGGAAGACTCCAAGTGCCTGTCGGCTGGCCATTTCTGAAATGGGAACTTTCTAAGCGGTGAGTGAGGGGCCTAATACCTGCTTTAGCAGCACCTGGCAGCAGGTCCAGCTCAGGGGGACCCCAGGGCCCTGAAGGCACCCTTGGTGTCCTGATGTCCTGCATCTGCCTGCCCCCTTCCTTCCTGTGTCCTCCCCACTTACCTGTGCACCTCATCCTCTTCCCACATCCTCCCCCTCCCCGCTCCCCACCTTTTATTCAACAAACTAAGACATAAGAAGTGAGCAGGGGCAGAGGCTGGGCTGGGCTGCGCTGGGCTGTGGGCAGGCTGGAGTATTGGCTGGAGTGTGAGTATCGTGAGGAAGAGTACAGCTCTGCAGAGCTCTGGCTCTAGGCACAGGTCAGTGTTTGTCCCAGTGTAGTTTGTGACCTCCTGGTCATAAAATCAGTTTAGTTGGCCCAAAGACATTTGAAAAAAGTGAAATAGAAGGGGAGATATCTGATATTGTCAAACTTGTTTTAGCCTGTGATATGTGTGTGCACCTGCGTGCGTGCGTGCGTGTGTGTGTATAAGTGTGTGTTTGTGATCACGTGCTCCAGTGGAGGGAGGGAGGGAGGGTTGGTGAGTGAGGAAGAGTGCATGGGTGTGTGGGGAGGGGGGCCGCGCAACCACAGGCTCTGGCTTCCTCCTGGCCCACGGCAGCCACTGCCTGCTGGGGACTGGCTCAGGGTGGCTGGGCCACGTCCACTGCCCAGCTGAGAGGTCGGGAGGAAGTGAATGGACGGGGCTCAGGCTGGAGAGGAGCAGGGAGCTTTTCAGGCTGGTGATCATGGCCACATCTTTTAACCCCTTGACCAAGTTGTGTGATTCCTCCAACAACTTAGAATTTTTTGCCTGTACCGAATGCTGGGGCTTTCCAGAACAAAGCTACCGGCTTTAGGACATTCATGGCTCTGTATCAGCGGTCTGGTTGCTCCTCCGTGCAATGTCCTCTGCATTGCTCACGAAGCTGACTACAGACCCTGTGATCGAGACACACCTGTCTGCTGGCCGCTTCTGGGACACTGTGAGCACACTGACCCTGTGTGCCTTGTTCCCAGAGGTCCCTGTGTCTCCTTAGATATGTGTCCTTTCTCTTTTTGGCAAAATCTTTCTCTGCATTCACAGGTCTCACTAGGCGTACCCTTTGGTTTACAAGAGACAAGAAATAAGCAACAGGTCAGGGGATAACAGGGCGCAGCTGCTCAACAAGATGTTCTCCTTGGCAACTGCTTCTGCAAAAGAATTCCCTGCCGGTGAATTCTGCATAATCGCAGAATGCTGCCCAATCTTGGGGTGGCCTTTGGGCTCAGATTTTTGAACAAATGTATTATTACCCTATGGTAATAGAAACATACCCTTCTAATATTTCTGTATTAGTTTTAACCTATGAGATTCCTTGCCCCTCTCTTTTTGGGAGGATGCAATTTAAATAGTTAAGGCAAGAGCCTTCATTCGGAATCCAGGAGCCATTTGTGACCTCAGGATTAGCACGTGGCTTGCATTTGGTGCCTGTACTCTGGGAAGTACTTTACATACGCCACTAATCCTCTGAGGCGGACAGTGTTCATCCTGTTTTACAGATACGAAACTGAGGCTGAGGTTAGTAATTAGCTCGTGGTCACAGGTTAGTGGGTGGCAGAGCGGGGATCTGAATGTCAACCACCTGCCTCCAGGAGAGTCTTCATTCTTATCCCCTGAGCTGTAGGCAACACTCTTGAACATCAGGTGATAGTTAACCCTTCATGAATTGCTGGAGTGGAGTGGGTGGGGGGTCCTACAGAAGTGGAAGTCACAGAAACAGGACGTTCTTTTTGACCAAGACACAAACATGGACCCTGCAGGTGTGTAGAGAGAGGATGCAAACCTTGTGCTCGTTTAGTGAGTTAAATAGTTAAGAGCTAGAGGATCGGGGTCTAAACCTGCAGTGGTTTGGCCCGGTGCATTGGCCGCCCTGTGGTGTAGATATCTCCGTCCCCTACTGTCCAGGCCTTTTGTGCTCCTTGGCAGGGACCCGAGAACACTCATCACATGGGATTATAAGATCCAAGTGTTGCAAAATCCCAATGCTGGAGGAGCTGAGTGGTCACCCTCTGACCTTTCTGACCAAAGCAGGAACCCCCCTGTCACCCCTTCTTGTCCCAGCAGTCCATTGACCGGAGACCCCAACACTGAGGGGCCAGAGTTTTCCATCCCTCACCCAGTTCTCTGAGGTCTCTAAAAGTTACTGTTCAAGTAATACATATGCACATAAAAATCAAAAGCCAGAACCAACACTATGGACATATTAATGGTGAAAGCAAAGGTCTTGTTTCCCAGACCTGGTCTCCAGGGCTCAGCCTGGGGACCTTGTTTGGTATGTAAATCAGTCCCGAACTTTTTTTGTGTGTGTGTGCAGCTCAGTATGTGTAAATGTAATTCTTAAAATGGATTCATTTTATCAATATTTTTGTACCCTTTCACTCAGTATACCTTTGTGGATTTAGTATTTGTGGGACTACCTCTCCATGTTTCTTTTTTTTAAGCAGGCTTATGATATTCTGTTACATCGTTTATTTAACCAGAGTCCTACAGATATTTAAATTGTTTCTAATTTTCCTATTACAGTCAATGCGCAATTATGGTTCTGTACATGGATCTTACAGCAGTAGGATTGCTGGGGAATTACATGCCAGAAATGAACGTGCCCCAGTGCTCACCTTGTTTATTACCCACCAGCAGTGGGTGATGACTTGGTTTCCCCAGCTGTCACCAACTCTGCGGTTTTTACGAGATGCTCTGAGTCTAGACCATCTGAGAGGCCGCCTTTGCCTATCTTCAACTATGAATGGGGTTGAGTATCTTCTCATGTATCACTAACCGAATGGACTTTTCTCTCTGTGACCTCTCCCTGTATTTTGCCCATTTCTCCTATTGGGTTAGTGTGAGGCCATCTTAAACGGACTTTAATCTTGTAGAGACGGGTGGTGGTAGCAAAAACTGCAGGGTCATGAACGCTCTGGCCAGGGTTTTGAATTTTGGCAGAACTTCCAAGAAAGCAGAGGTTCTTGGCAAGTTGTGAAGTCCAGAGAAAGAGTCTGTTGATTTTGGGTGAAAAGACGATTCTTCTGATGTAATCACTAGGCAAGAAGTTATGAGACCTCCATTCCCTCATCTTGACAATGCGTTTACTGTGCTACGCTTCTGGAACCACACAAGATTGCTCTCGTGCATCTTCCCTGTGCGGGGAATTGTACAGATTAGCTCCAGCGTGGGGCGCTCCTGCCCGTGGTTGGCGGGGGGTGGGGGGGTGTCGAAGGAGGAGAAGAGTCCCCAGGCCTTTGCTCTTTCTCTTTGTCCTGCACAGTAGGCAACAGCCCCCTCCCCCGGGACACACACTCTCCATACTTCCTGCACACGCTCCTCCCTGCAGGATCCTCCTGGAGCTGGCTCGCTCCTTCCCCTGGTCCTGAAGCTGAGCTGTGATGAGCAAGAACTCTGTATTTTCTGCCTGCTTAACTCGGGAAGGGCTTTGGTGGGGGAAGGCTCGGGCCAGCTGGTTTTTCTGCAGGAAGTATTAGTCTGACTTGCAAGCTTTCTAGAAGCATCTCGAGCTTTTCTAGTGTATTTTCTTATTTTGGAGGGGAGTGTTTCCTGGAGCATGCTGGCCTGCCAGCGAAGTCCCCGATTCCCCAAGGGTGTTGAGGAGCACAGAACTTTACTCTTTTGTTTAAGAAGCTTGTCTTAGCACTATGGTGAGGACTGTGGAGCTACTCAGGGAAGCCGGTGGGTTTCCTCAGTCCAGAACCCTCAGGGAGGGAAGGAAGTGTGCCCCCCGTGTGGCAGGGTGGGGAGGAAACTTAGGTATCTTGACTCCGAGACCCGTATTCTTTCCTCTGCCTCC